TATATATATATATAATCTTATACGTCTGAAAAATATTATTTATTTGAAATCAAATCAAATTATTTTTCTTACGTACTAAAAAAAAATAGGTAAAAGATATAGTGAATGATCAAAAGAAATTATTAAGGAATCAATAAATCTGTTTTGCTTAAAAATTGTTAGAAAACATAAATTATTATTCTAGAAATAAATCTTTTTGATGAGATACTCAACATGTTTAGAGGAAGGTTTAGATGTGGAATGTGGACGCCGTAAGTCCTTGATTGGATTCATAGCCGGTTTATTCTCGTGTGCACACATGCTCGCTTCAAATGTTACACACTTTTGTAAGAGACTGTGAAAGATATATTTGATTATATTTATCATGATTTAGAACGCATTTAGCAGACATATATTTTGTGAAAAATTGCAAATACAATACCTATAGATAATATTTTATTTATAAAAATGTAAAAGGAATTGTATCTTTCCAGATCTTTTAGTTAACAATATTAATATTTGAAAGAATTCTTAAATACATATTTATTAAATTAATGCTTAAATTATCAAAGAATTTGTCTATGTCTATATTAATTATAAGAATGTGATAGAAAAAATTCGCAATTAAATTAGTAATTAATTAATAATTCATTCTGATGTCTAATTAAATTCTTTCAAACATTTATATGCGCAAAGTATAAACAAATCAAGTAAGATGTATTAAACGCATGTATTAATAAAGTGGTTCTTTTTTTTTAAACGATTAGGCCAGCTATAATCAATTATACTAATTTTGTATAAATTTTTCTATTCGTGAAAATAAGATATGTAATTTTTGCACGGACTATAAAACTTTTAAATGAAAAATCTACACCGATTTGTGATAGTTTTTATTGTGTAATTATATACACAAATGTGCTATTGCGAGCTATGAAATGAACTGAAATGGAACCGTGTTGCGAGTGAGGAACACTGTGCAAATCGATCGGCATCCTGCCAGTTTGCGAGAGGCTATATGGACATCACGAAATTCGCCACCGTCGGCGCCACCGCGGTGGTGCTTTTTATGTGCTGGAGTATATTTCGTTTTGACTATTGATATTATGCTAATGATACCTATTTTTTTTGTCTAAAATACATCAAAACGATATTCTAAAGATGTCAAAAAGAAAACTGAACTATTAGATATATAGCTTCATAATTTCATACGATTGAATTTAAGGTTTCAGCAAAGACGGAATAATTCCATTTTGTTTCTCTTAAAATGTTTAGATCAGATCTGTCCAATTTAAACTCCGGAGCCAAAATGCAAAGCCATCGACGCAAAAAAATTCAATGTGGGTAAGATTTCGGGGACTGTAAAGTATTGATACGCATCTGAATGACGCTTATCAATATTTTACAGTCCTTAAAGTCTGACATTATTTTTTTCATCAACTTTGCGTTTTGGTTTCGGAACTCAAATTGGACAAGTCTAGTTTAGATTATTACTTTAATTAAATAGAATCATTTTTTGATGATATTAAGTTATCTAACGGAAAAACACAATACATTATACAATTATACAACATCGCTTTGAATCTATGATAAACGAATTATTAAGCTTGTATAAAAGAATTCTATTTATACAGTTTTTTAAAGATATATATATATATATATAGTGTTATTTTTACTGTAAATATTGTAATAATAATTAAGATATTGTTATTTTATACTAATTAAAATAAAATAAAAATACGATAATATGTTTATTTAATTTTGTATATTTTTGTGACAGTACTCGTTATTAATTTCATAATACTTATTGCATGTATTATCTCATGATATAATTATGTATAAGAAGTTATGCAATTATATAAAACAGATAATACTTCTTTTCAGATTTTCAGAAAAAAGATAACATAAAACAAATAACAATATTATATCATTTAATGATTATCTAAGGCTTGTAATTTTATAACAAATTATTTTTCTGTATTTATGCAGCCATTTTCAGTTCTCGTTTGATAGATAATATTAAGAATAAGAGAAATAGATAATATTAAGAATGTAGAATATAGATTTATCGTATATATTAAAATCTTTTTATATCCATCGATATTAATTAAGGTAGCATTATATTTTCGTAGAAGAATCAAAATGTATTGTATCCTTTTATGGATTTTAAGTTTAAGTTTCGAGCAGTCCTTTAGTTTATTACGTCATTAAATTTAGATACGCCACTTCTCTCATAGATAACAATGAATAAATTTTAACAGAAAAAAAAATGAGAACGAAGACTTACCAATACTGCTCATAAAAGTATCCTTAATAAAGCACAAATTTATATCGATTCACTTTTAATCACAAAACGATTTCCATTCGATAAACGCACAGGCGTCCATAGGAGAACGAATCTCCAAGCTAGGGATGAAATTGCGCACGAATCGACGCTGGGCGTCGCCATCGTAGGGATGGAACAGTCAGGACGCGGTAAGGTGGTGAATTCAGGGATGGAGAGTGGGGGAGAATTCGAAAGTCGAGCAAAGAGCTTCGTGTCCGACCGCTGCTACGGCGACCTGCAGACTGTTCTGTCGAGCAACCTCGGCTCTCCTCGGTTACGAACAGTCATTAACATAAATTGTCTTCAGTGACAGTTACCACCACTACCTCTCTATAGTATCGGACAAAATAAAGTAGATACAACCGTAATATTCTAACCCGCATATAGATGATTTAGTCTTATGCTATATATATTTAGTAATATTTAGAAGAGATATATTCAAATCATTTTGAAATTTTATTTAGCATGCAACACTTCTGAGATAGTAATTTTTCTTATTACTTTTAACATGTCATAATGAGATCTAATTTTTTTTGTATGAAACATAAACTTATCTAATATATATGAAGAAATTATTTTTAAAAGAAATAAATTATCAAATTCAGTAAAAAGTCGAGCTACCTATATCTTTACTAAACTCTATAATTTTTTAAAAAAAGCATATTTGATATATTTAAATCCATATTTTCTTTTTTATTTTACGATCTGAATATTATAAAATCTGAATATTATAAAATAACGTACGTTATTAAATTTAGTGAATAAAATTTTGGCATTTACTTATATTTGTATCTATATCATGAAAGAAAAAAATTTTATAGCCTTCTTTTTAAACTACTGTTTTCAAGAGCTTTCCAACTTCAGGTATAGATACTGCATTGTATTGTATGTTCGTGAGTTGAGTTATAATATATGTTTCGGAAAGGTAAGGATGTTTCACGCTGAGAGTCAGACTGTATCATGAACACACAATAGTTCGGCATGCCTTCGTATAAATATCCGTTAATATTATTATATTAGCAATAATATTAGCAATAAAACTATAGATAACGTTACAATATTAATGATGATTATTAAAATCATAAAATTATTTTTAATATTATAAAATTAAAAATTGTCATTGCAATTGCGAAGTTATCATTACAAAATTATAAAATTATTTGCTGCTTATTGGAAAAGTTACAAAATCTGTTATGTATATTTAAATAAGAAAATTTGTTTTTTTGTTATATTTCAGATTAATTTAATAGTACTATCTCTAGTATTTGAAAAATAATGATATTTATTTTTAACGTTAAAAGTCAGTTTAGTTTAAAAAGCAAAAATAAGCATTTCGGAATATTCAAATTTATTTATAATATAATTTTTTGTACTTAATTATTAAAATGTAAACTACAGCTTTAAATTTATGTAAGTAGTTCACACGCTTGAGTATCTAAACAATATTTAAAGTTAATATTTTTGTAATATTTTATTTTGAAACATGTAATATCTTATACATTTTTAATGTTATAGTTGTAATATATTTATATATAGTGAAAAAAAAATTTTATTAAAAAAAATTTTGTATAGCTTATGATTTTATCCTTTTTGATTTTATCAACGTCATGCTTTCGGCGGAAGAGTAATTAAAATAAAAATTTAAATAATCAGAAAAATCTTGATTTCTCTCAGATGAGAAAAATTGATTCTATAAAAAATTTCTTAATTTTTCTTGTGTGATCTTTTTTACATATTATATTGTTGTATTACATTGATGGCATTTTTATTTAAACAAAAGTATGAGTCTCTTGTGACAAAATAAAAATTTACAATTATAATTGATTTAGTTATTGATTACAGATAAACAAGGAAAGTTCATTAGTAAAATGATCCAATTCACTACTATTATTCTAACAATGAATGCTTTCCAACAAGAGATACAGATATACCAACAACAAAAATGTAATGACTCTGTATCTTTCGTTGGAAAAATCGAAACTCACTAACATTACATAAATATTATATTTTTTAATTCAAAAATATAAATATAATATAACAACACATATTGTAACAATTTATACTATAGCTATATCGTTGAACAAGAAATTATAATATTATTATTAGTTATTATATTATTATTTATACATTATTAGAGGGGAATTCTTCTCCAATGATATGTTACCGACATACAAAATATAAATTAAATTATTTATGCTTGTATTGATATACATATTTTTAAATTCAGTTATTATACATATATGATATTAATTAGATTTAATAAATAAATTAAATAAATAAGTATATTAT